GTGGCGGGTGTGCCCTCACCTTTGCTGGTATAATGTTCTTATGTATCTGGTTTTCCCAGCTTTATATGCTTTAATTTAATAAACGGCCACTCCCGTGGCCAAAATATCCCATAATGGGTTTGTGATTATTTGTGTCCCAGCAAACAGAGCTCACCCAAAGCGAGACTCCGCCAACATCAATAACTTTCGTATTATGTAAAGGAACATGAAGCATAAATATTACTTTGAATCGGAAAGAATACTACTGTATAACGTGCAAGTAATTTCTCTTTTAGTCCATCTTCAAATGAACCATTAAAATGATAGTCTTTATTGATAAAAAGATTTGAAACAGTAGTTTGTTGACATTCTACCAAATTTAGAGACCAAATTCAACAGCCTGTCCGATTAGTTTGATAAGCTTCCAAATCCAAAAATTAAATTACATCAAGTATTTCGAAGTGAAAACGAGAAATTTATAGGAGCAAGCGAAAATAGAGAAATGAAAGATAGCTTGTCATATCCAAGAATAAATATAAACTTATTTCTTTAGCTTACCTTCCGATTCTTGATCAAATAATTTTTTTGCGACGCTGTTTTGCTTAACCTACAAATAGTTTTTGAGATGAAATAAAGTTCAAATTAGTTAAATGAGATAAATGAAAAAGAAAGGCCAAACGACTTTCAACAATGAAAACGTGCATAGAATAAAACTGTTAGTTTCTCTGTACTCTCCATGGCTCCTGGACATCTTTCATCAGCGCGGAAAAGTTATTGACAGCTCGCCCGCTTCCAAAAGCTCCGCCCCAAGTGAGACAAAATGTCTCACTTCACCGAGTTTGTCTAGGCCTCAAAAACTTTCTCGGATCACGTGACCCGAAACGCATCGGCCGCGCATGATAATGAGGCCTAGGGACTAGGCAAGTTCCAAGTCAGACCGTTCCAATCAATAGTCAGATTGTTCCATAAAATAGTCTGTTCGTTCCACAAAAAAGTCAGTTCGTTCCACATATAAAAAGTCAAGTAAATCTTTCTAAATTTGTTGAGTGAACTTTATCGAGAAGAAAAACGTTTCGTTCATACCACAAGCTGATAAAATAATAGTCGATCCAAAGTCGATTCGATCCATCCTAAATCGTTTGAAAGCAAACAAGAGACCATTTCAACCAGGCACGGGCTTTAACATTTAAACCGCTAGCTAGTACAACTAGCTCATTACCTTCTCTTGATCTTGTCGTCACCTCGCTGCAATCAAAAGACTCCACACAAAACTTGCTGATAATGCAAAATCTCGACGCACAGCATCGTACATGTACCGCGTCACAACGTACACAATTAGATGAAAAAACACAACGCGCAATCCAAAAAAAAGTTCATTAACCGTCACCCTGCTAAACAAAATTGAAATAATAAAAAGAATTGTTGCAGTTATCACAGTAGTTCCAAAAGAAGCCTCAGTCCCTTTTGGTTTCAATTGTGGACAATCGTCTCTTCCTTCATCGGAACAGATTTTTATCACAGACAACTCGCTGTGTTCCGCAATGCAAACATCAAAATCACTATTGTCACACTGATAACCAGCTACACAAATCTTGCTACTCTCAAACTTGTTCAACATTCCTCTGTTCAAACTCTTATCCACTTTACACGCACACACCTGATATTCCGATTTGTTATTACGTCTATGGGGTCCATGAGTCTTTGATGTCATTGAATGTCTTGATAATTTCCTTTGTTTTTCTTTGAGTTCGCGGACCAGCCCATTCCGAAAACACTCAGGGTTATATTTTAGTGTGGGCCTACCGCGAACAGTGTGTGCATTTGTAAGTTTAACCCGAGATAAGATGATTGAACAATATATTAACACGTTCCTCGAAGCGCCGCGGCCAAATGTTATCCAAACTGCTTCTCACTGCTGCTTCCAAAAATTTCGGATCAAACGATCTCTAAATCGTCCCTCATTGGATTATTCACTCGACCTAACAAAATCGACCAATCGCAAAATAAAGAAAAGAAAATGGACATAAAATAAAGAAAACAGCAAATTCAGATGACCTCTTAGGAAACAAGCAATTAAAACTGTCTTTCTATGATTGGTGCATTTCGATCCTCTCGTCAAAAAAATGTCAGACGTCAATCATCTTAGCGGACCTCTTAGGAAACGAAAGTTTTCTTCAACGGGTCCAAAAGGTCATTGTTTTGGTCATTGTTTATGATTTGTGATTGGTGGATTTCGATCCGTTTTTTTAGTTTCTGTGTTTCAAGGTTCGTTGCTTGTGATCTTATTGTGACCAAAACCCGACGTTAATATTCCAAATATTTTTGATAGATTCAATCCCTGGACTTCAGACTTCCAAATTTCGATGAGGCAAAAATACTGAAGATTCAAGTTAACTTTTGAGATCGTAAAAGTGCGATTAAGTGCCGTGTGTTAGCAGAGCTTTCTTTCCCACATGCCTCTAACCTTGTACAAGACGTTCGCATGGCAGACATTCGCCTCGCTTCGCTTGTTTACTTGCCTTGTTTACGTTAGCACGTATTGCGTGCCTATTGCACATTTGCGTCAATACAAGCCGTTTCCATTACTCTATTTGGGCCACGCCCAAATAACAAGAAAGTTCGAAAACATTTTTTGATGGTGGGCAGGTTTAGTGGATGCAGGATGCTGGTGATTTAT